TTGGAGTAATGCATGGAAATGTGTATTTTTTTGCTTTATGCTTGTTATTTCATATCCAAATGCATGAAAAATATATGTTTTGCTTTGCTTATGTTTAGGGTTGTCAAAATAGCTCGTTGCTCGCGAACAGCTCGTGATCAGCTTGTTTAGTAGCTCGTATTCGCTCGTTTGCTAAGCAAACGAGCCGAACACAAACAATTTTTACGCTCTATATATAAACGAGTTGAACAGGAACAAATTTTTGTTTGTTCGTGTTCGACTCATTTTGACTCGAAATAATTATATATATATATAATAATTGATGAGTATTATTCTTAAATAATTTAATTGACTGCTTGATTGCAAAGATCTATAATCAATTAAAATTATCAATTTAAAAAATAAAATAAAAATATATTAAACTCTATTTAAATGAATAGTTTAATATAAATGATAAGATTTAAATCTCGCCCCTACCCTACCCTTAACATCCTGTGGCTGTGTGATTAGAGATGTCAAAACAACTCATTATTTGTGAACAACGATATGAATAACGATATTTTGTGGCTAAGAAAAAGAGCCGAATATGAATAATTTTCTTACGCTCGATATATCAACGAGTCTACACGAATAACAATATTTTTTAACGAGTAGAATAGGAGTCGAGCCTGGGATCGCTCACTTTACTCAAGCTCGACTCATTGACACCCTTAGTGTAGTACAAAAATCCAAGAATTTTTAAATTTGTTTAATTATCGTCTCTCGTAAAAATTTTTCAATAGATTTCTCTGATAGCTTGAAAAGATATTTACAATTTCATATTCTATAGGTTTTAAAGTTTTGAAATTAAATATATGGTTATTTGTGATACCTTGCATGTATTGGACAATTTGATTGTTAAAAAACTTGGGTAAACAAGACTTTTAAGAGGGCTTCTAGATGTCATTTGTTCATCCATATTTTTTCAAAGGGTTTCTATACGTTCTTTGTTCATCCATATATTTTTCCAATTCTTGATGAATATCCAATTATCATAAAAATTGATGAACTTTTTTTTTTGCATATAATTTTGGGCTATCTGTGAAATTTGATGAGTTCAATTCATTAATAATTTCCATTTTGTAGATCTCCCATAATGATGTGATCTTGAGCTTAGACACTATAAAAATTATTATATGTAAAATTAAAGTTTAAGTGGAGTAATTATTGCTAAGAAAGTTAGAGGTAGACCTAGAAAGACTTGGGCATATTGTATAAAAAATGATCTTACTCTATTAAAATTAAATAAAAATATGACACTCAATAGGACTCAACGAAGAAAAATGATTCATTTAGCCGACCTCACTTAGTGGGATAAAGGCTTGTTGTTATTGTTGCTGTTGCAATGGAGTAATTATTGTCCTACGAAATGTCATGATTCGATCCGAGAGTTTGAAAATTTTCAAGTCGGAAACAAACGGTCAGTTGGTGAAATTAATTTTTTTATTTTTATTTTATGTTTGTAACATTTATTAATCGAGATATAAATTGAAAAAGTCAGTGCAAAAAATAATTTAATTAACAAAAAATAAGTTTCTTTCCGTTGGTGTGTAAACCATCATTTGGCATCTGATGTGATTGCTCACACCTCGATAGAGCAAACACATCATGTCAAGCCATTTAGTATGTCACTTGTGATCACTCACATCTCAATAAAGCAATCAGGCTATGATGGATCATTTTACATTTTACATTATCCTTACTTGATTCACTTTTGATGGCAAATCATGCTAATTAGATGAGTGACTAGTGTTCATCGCAATACATTAATGAGCATTGCTTGCGAGGATATCTCAGCAAGTAATTCAAATTATCAATTCATAATGAAATTTCAAAAGGTCTAACATGTGCCACTTAGGCTTTACTTTCACGTAGGACCCATTATATAAAATACCAGAGGCCCAAATACCGATTTCCCATGCGTTAGGCCCCATGATGAGAGCTCGCGTCATGTGCCTAAATATTCAAGAACCCACCGCCACCGGGGATCGAACCCGTGATTTATTGGGTGGAGTTGTAATTCGTGGAGGATTCCTATTATTGAGTGCGTGTTGCATTATTTTTGTTTTCTAGTTGGGAGTCCTTCACCAACAAAAAATTGTATCTTTTTATTTAATTATTAACGCGTAGGCAGACGAATAATGCTCCTTCATGTTTAGAAAGTATGTTAAAACTAAATATCCATAGCTTAGACCAGATGTATGGTCAACCTTTCAAGCTCTTGTTTTCACAAAGGTGTCATCTTTAATGTTATGTAATAGAATTCTTGAATCTTTAGGATTGGGTTGGGGATGAAGACTCCATAAAAATTATATGCTTGACTTAGCCGCACTTTTTGCGCATACTAAGATGTACGTTATTAGGGCATCTTATTTTAGATGCTTGATGGAATAAGGTAGGGTGTAGTTAAATTTTTCATTTGCCTGACTATAGATGAAGACTCCATAAAAAATATATGCTCGACTTAGCCACACTTTTTGCACATACTAAGATGTATGTTATTAGGGCATCTTATTTTAGATGCTTGATAGAATAAAGTAGGGTGTAGTTAAATTTTTCATTTGCCTGACTATTATTAAAGTTTGTTCATAGTCAAGCATTTTATTTGTGTGTTTTATGTGTTTACTGAGTGTGAGATAAGTGCATTAGTATATATTTTTTTACTGAGTATACATTTTTTGCACAGGAAGCCATGTCCATTGGGAGGAGCTTCATAAGTTAAAAATCAAGCTAGATAAAAATAATATAATTTAAGACAAACAAAGAAAAAAAAATGACTTAAATGTTCACCTGCTTGCTGAATGAAGAAAACAATAATAGTTTTAGTTTTCAATTCTAGAAAAAGAAAAAGGCAAATAAAGTGGATTAAACACATCTGCTCCCTAGATGAGTTCTTAAAGATGTAATATTTGAGCCTGCACTTCAAATCTACTTCTTGAGCTCGAGAGATTGATATTCCAAGATTGTAAGAGCAATTCCAAGTAGTATAAATCTCAACTTAAATCTCTCTAAAATAAAGATTGCTTTAAAAAATAAATAAATAAAAGAAATAGTTTTTCAAAATGTAAGAAACAGTCGAAAGTAGTATAAATCTCGAATTACTCAAATCCCTCCAACATAAAGGTTATTTCATCAACAAAAGATATATAGAAGTAGATTACTTACAAGCCTATTTATCGTTAATGAACCACCTGGAACAAATCAAAATTATGTTATTCTCTACACTTTATAGCTTGTAAGTAGAAAGCGATAAGAGAGAAAAGGGAACTTGTGACATCTTTAGCTTTTTTTGACTGATCAACCATATTTCATAAAATTTGATTCAAATTCTAGCTTTATAGCATATCATTACTTAAGACGAACAAAACAAGAAAAGGATTTGAAGGTTCATCTACTTGATGAAAGAAAGTAAATGACAAAAAAATAATTTTAGTTTCAGAAAAGAAAAAGGAAAATAAAGTGAATGCTTTTATAGTTGAAGAGGTAGTTGCAAAATGTGAGTGCCATTCGACGATTACTCAAATCTTTCTAAAATAAAGGTTATTTCACTAACAAAAAAAAAAAAGATGAAACTATATGATTAATCAACCAATTGCGATTAAGGCCAATCAACCATATTATGACAAATCAAAGCCACATTGCTCTTTCTATTTGATATTTAAGAAGTGGACGAAGAGCAAAATGGGAGTTCATGGCATCATCAAAATTATCAACTTTATTTTGTCAAATTTGATTCAAAATCAAACTTTATAAAACAACATTATTTAAGACAAACAGAAAAAAGCAAATGTTCAGCTACTTAATGAATGAAATTCCAAGAAAATGCTTTTCATTTTTAATTCAAAAAAAGTAAAGGCAATTAAACTGGATTAAACACATCTGCTCTCTAGAAAAAGTCCTTTTAGTAGATTTTCAAATTATACGAATCATACGAAGTAGTATAAATCTCGAATTACTCAAATATCTTTAAAATAAAGACTTCTTCACGAATAAAAAAAATAGTAGTAGATGAAATAGGTGCTCTACTTAATGAATGAAAGAACATGACAAATGGTTTTAATTCCAAAAAAATGAAAAAGCAAATAAAGTGAATTAGAGACATTTTCTATCTAGATAATACATCTTAAGGATGTAGTATTTGAATATGCACTCCAAATAAGCTTTTCCAGCTGAAGAAATAGTTGTGAAATGTGATGGAACTAAATTACTCAACCAATGGCGCCTAAGGTTAATCAACCAATTATAACAAATCAAAGCTTCATTATTCTCTCTATTTGATATTTAATGAATAGATCATGACAAGAGCAAAAAGGTTCATAAAATCATCAATATTCTGTTAAATTTTTTAGCTTCTTTGTTTAATCTATTGTTTTGTATAATTTAATTCAAATCAAACGTAATAAAATAGCATTATTTAAGATAAACAGAAGAAAAAAAAACTTGATAGGTGCACCTAATGGATGAATGAAAGAACATGACGGTTTTCTTTTTCAAAGGCAAATAAAATGGATTAAATATATTTGCTCTAAATATAATCTTATCAAACCTGCTTTCCGAGCTGGGGAGGCAATTTCAAACTACAAGTCATTCCAGGAAGTATAAATCTTAAAATAAACATTATTTCACCAGCAAAAGAAATGAAAGTGGTGACTTGCACCAAAGATTAATCAACCAATTATAACAAATCAAAGCTACATCATTCTCTCAATTTAATATTTAATGAGTAGATTACGACCAGAAAAGGGAGTTCATGACATCATCAAAATTCTTCAAGTTTTTTAGCTTCCTTTATTAATTTACCTTGATTTTTCAAATTTAATTCAAAATCAAGTTTTATAAAATAACAATTATTTAGGATAAAGACAAACAGAACAAAAAAAAATTGAATGGTCCACCTAGTTGGTTAATGAAAGAACATGATGATTTTCTTTTTCAAAGGCAAATAAAATGAATTAAATACATTTGCTCTCTAGAAAAGTTTATTTTAGAGATATAATATTTGAATATGCACTTCAAATCTGACAAGGTAGAGGAAACCACCAAAAATAAGAGGAAAAAAAAAAGCTTTCCCAAAAGATTTAACCCAGCATGGTAATAATAAAGAAGAACAGACCGCTATTGTTTCCTCGTATATTTATTCTCAAAGCATTGCTTAAACTAAAATGTCTCTCTAACGCAGGAACATACCAATTGTATTTGATCAACATCCTTGATAAAATTGCCCTTAAAGCCTTGACGCATTGGGATACATCTCTCCAGCAACTAAAGTCAATCGCAGCACCTCATTGAGCATTGTAACATTTTGTTCTGTGGCAGTGATAGCAGAAATTCAGCTAAGAATAATAATCATTTCCACCAAACATCAGCTTCAAGAGGATGAAAATCAAATGAATACAAAGAAACAAAATATTATAAAACTATTGGGGAAATATATTTTTTAGTTATTATAAGTATTATAGACATTTTCTATTTGAAGAATAGAATCAAACTTACAGCCACTGCACTTTGATCTGGTTATAAGAAAATATTTTTATCATTGAAATTTTTGAAAACATAACCCTGCAACTATTTGGCGGGTGAGGTTGTAAAGCCCAAAAACAAAAAAAACAAAAGTTGATCCCAAGTGAAACATCACTTTTAACAATCTTTGGATCTCCCAAAATTCAATTATGTGAACGTCTCAACCAATTATATTAAAATGAATAAGTAGGCATCATTAGAAAATAACAAGCATGAAGGCTACCACATAAAAGGTGAATAAAAAGAACATGGCCAGATCATAAAAGTAAAATGATAAACAAAGTACAAACCTACATAATTTTAATATATGATAATGTTGCATACAACAACAATAACAACAAGCTTTTATTTCACTAAGTGGGGTCGGCTACATGAATCTTTTTTCTTCATTACGTCCTATTGAGTGCCATATTTTCATTTAATTCTAATGGTTTAAGAAAAAGAAAGATTTTATGCAAAACTGCGCAAAAAAACCTTACCATTCAGTAGGTTGATCCGCTGTTCAATGGCTTGTAAACGCAGCTTCAAATCATCGTTTTCAGCACGCAACGCATCGTTGTTCCTCTGTAAGAAACGCAAATGCAATCAACCATACATATTAGAAATATATTATGCATCGGCAAATTGAACTTTTTATGTAAAGAAGAAAATTTAACAAAGCAGAAGGAAATGCGTGCCATAAAAGCAACAGTTTCTAAATTTGAAAAAAAAAAAAGGACAACCGAGTCTACTTCAAATGCAGAACATTCGGTTTCAAATTTAAAAATTGGCCTGCTAAGAAAATAAACATGGCTACCTATTTTCAAAGCAAAACATCTGTTCCAGTACATGCCGTGTAAATTATATATATATATATATATTATTTTCCAAAAAATAGAATTTCCATGACAAGTTTAAAATTTTCTAGTTCAGAAAAATTCACAAATTCTTTAAATATGGATTAAAAACTAATTTAATAGTAAATATGGATTTAAAAAAAATTTAATAATCAAGCACAAGATAGTTACAGAAAAACGGAGCCAAATTTGAAGAGAATGATAAAATGATATGTTAAACATATCACATGAGACTAATATTCAAATTCACAGGATCCTGATCTAAAGGTTTCAAAGTTTGACATTTTTCACTAGTTATCCTAGAATGTAAATTATTCAAGGCAAACGGGTCTGTTTGGGGAAGCTGCAACTTCGACTGCATTTGGGGCAGCTTATTTGTCGCGGTGGCGTTTTGTAAACGCCGCCCGCGGTTTCCTATTAACCGCGGACGAGGTAGGGGGGCTACGTCCCTCGTGTAGCGACTGCGTATTTATCCTATTGCCCTTCTGCGTTCGATCGTCTCCTCTGCGCTCGTCTCGTGTCGAAACCCTAACTTTCTTTGATTCTCCTCATTTCTCTCGATCGTTGCCTCTGATCCGTGCTTGTGGTGCTCTGTAAGTAACCTCATCACCTTTGTTTTGGTGATTTTAAACCTAGAGGCCTTTTCGGGTTTGGAATCTCCCATCTCCTTTGATGTGAGAATTTTGTGGTTCCCTATTTGAAGGAATGACTTTCATGCGATGGCTATTTATCCAATATTTATTTTGAAGTGTTTTGTTTTGGTGATTTTTCATCTAGAGCCTTTTTCGGGTTTGGAATTTGCTCTTCTCCTTTCATGTGAGAATTTTTTGGTGCTCTATTTTAAAAAGTGATGGATTTCAGAGGTTCCTAAGTGGAATTTGCCCTTCTGTGAGAACTTTCTCTATGTGTGTAGGCGGATGGGACAGCTAGGGCTTGGTTTATCTGTGTGTACTGGCTGATGAGGTAGCTGGACTTTGGTTTCTCTATGTGTGTTAGTGGATGGGGCAGCTAGGCTTGCTTTCTCTGGTGGCTTTGGCCATAGTTTCTCTATGTGTGTTGGCGATGGGGCAGCTGGGTTTTGATTTCTCTGTGTGTGTTGGTGGATGGGCAGCTGGGCTTGCTTTCTCTGGTGGCTTTGGCCTTGGTTTATCGGTGTGTGTTGGTGATGGGGCAGCTAGGCTTGCTTTCTTTGGTGGCTTTGGCCTTGATTTACCTGTGTATTTTTGCGGATGGGGCAATTGGGCTTTGATTTCTCTCTGTGTGTTGGTGGATGGAGCAGCTTGATTTGCTTTCTCTAGTGGCTTTGACCTTGGTTTCTTTGTTTGTTGGCGGATGGGGCAGCTAGCTTTGGTTTGTCTGTGCGTGTTGGTGGATGGGGCAGCTGGGCTTACTTTCTCTAGTGACTTTAGCCTTGGTTTCTCTTTGTGTGTAATTGGATGTGGCAATTGGATGTGGTTTCTATGTGTAACTAGCTTTGGCCTCAATTTCTCGAATGGCTTTTGTCTTGTTTTCTCTATTTGTAGCACAATATGATTTCTTACGTTGGGCCGACATTCCGGCATATTCTACTGCCGACAGTGATCGAGGTACGATGGTTTCACAGGAGGATAGTGCAACTGAGGGCATACATTGCCAGGGTTTTAAAATTAATATTTTAATATTTTAAATTTTAGTTGTAATTATTTTTCTCCTTATTTTATTACTTTTGATACTCACGAGAAAATGAGGACTCTATCTTATTTTTTTAAACTGATCTATAATGGTTTGCGGCTTCTGTTTTATCAATTATTTTGCCCAAACAGTTCTGTTACAAACAACATTACTAAACAGGGGCAGAATGATCATTTATCCAGAAACAATTGTCTCACGGTGGGTTTCACACCTAAACAAGCCAGTTTATTCTGATAATCTACAGATTATCAGATTGTCAGGATGATCTGTTTATAAACAGATTATAAATAATCTACAGCTGCTCCAAACATACCTTTAATAATAAGTTGTTGCAGCAGCAGCAATAGAAAGTTGTTGCATAGAAACTAACCGTCTGTTTATTTTTTGCAGTTTAAAAACAGAAATGTATAATTGTTTCTAAAAAAATGATCATTATGTCCTCTTATAATAATTTTGTTTGCAACAAAACTGTTCATACCGATATTTTTATATTTTAAAAGTAAAAATCTAAAGCAGAAAATTATAAAATATAGACACCTCACATAACAGTGAGTAGTATGATTACTAAAACTAAGAGACTATTAAAATAATAATTAATAATTTAATAATATTATTTTAAAATGCAGACGACGTATGTCACGAGCTAAATCATCCTTCAGGGATACTCTTCATGTCCGATCACTCTCAACAGTGGAGTCTTCCAGCTTATCCGCCCATCGAAAATAATCACAATTTTCCATAATTCTCCGCAGACACCTGTAAAACTATCTCTCGTAGCAAAATCATTGACGTGAAGTTAACAGAGAACTTTGAAGTCCACGGTAACAGTGCAATCCTTGGGGGGCACCAGAAATTATCGAGTTTATCTTTCCTCAATACTTAAAAAAATATCTCATTGGGCATTGCAAAAGTAAAAATTGATAACATAAGTAATTAATTATAGTTTTATACAATTGGGAGTTCTCAGAAAACTCAGTATATAAACCAACAAATCTGTCACTACAAAAAGACAACAGGTCTTATAAAAAAGGGTTGATTTCTGCCTTTATTCCATGCAATACCAAGCTTTGTGTATCACATTTGCATGTCATCAAAGAAGATCGTCCAGAAGAACATCAAAAACCGTAGCACCAAAAAATATAGGAATTTGACTGTCTTCATTAGGATTTCACTTGCGACGCCAATCAATAGCGACATACAGACCATCCAAAAGAACACATAATATCAAACGTCTCATCCTAGACCTTTAAAACCCACTAAATGGAAAAAAAAAGAAATGTATAAGAAAAAACACACTTAAAAATTGCAAACAAAATTAGAACAATCAAATATCAAATACACAAGTAACGGAAATTAGCATGAATTGTATAAAATACTTATAAAATAAATAGTGAATCTCTTCAACAACCATTACAATTAATAATATGATAAAAACTTCAGTCACCCTCCAACTATCGGATTCATAAGTTGTTCCCTCAACTCAGCCATCTCGTTTGCACCTTCCGCGTCTTTAGTACATGTCTCGGGAACATTATTTTCAGCATGTGACATTAGTCGTCCAAGTTGGTACTAATATGCTTGAATAGGGACTTGTTCATGATTCTCATTTGTCCTACGAAAGTCGATGTCATTGAAGGAAGGATGTCTTTGAATATAACTGTGGAAGTCATCATGGCAATTACAATTTGGGCCTGTTTGGAAAACGGGTAAAATAGCATATCGCGAAGTATGAATTTCTTCTACCACACGTAAAGTCCTCTCAATAACACCACGTAAGGATGAATATTTTTTGTTGAACATTTCTTCCCTGCCCCACATGAAATTGCTGACTTGCTCAAAATCAGGTATGTGATATCTTGTATCAGGATAGGACTTGAGATACGCTCACTGCAACGGATACCCAACATCGACCAAATGTTATTTATCTGATGTGAATTAAATGATTAGTGTTAAAGAAAAAAAAAAGAATTAAGAGTGTGGCTCAATCTCAAGCGAACCTCTGGAGGATGTGAGAAGTTATATTTATTATTTCGTGTTGTAGATTCAAAAATTTGACTGTTATGTGGACTATATTCTTAACCGATCACGACAAAAGTGAAGCAAGTGTTTAAGTAGCATACGCCATGACATTCTGCGTCAGGGAACCACAACAACCGATGAATGTAATCTTTTCATTATTTAAAACACGTGCATTATCTGTTCCATCGATTGCTCCAATATAATTCTAGAAAAATAACAAAGGGTTACGTAAGTACGATATTTATATAAGAATTGAATGTAATAAAGAGGAAAATTTACCTTAAAGTATGAAATATTGTGCATCGTATGAAATCTCTGTGGGGGTCCATTCGAATGTAAGATTTGTTGAATTTATGATTTGTAAAGAAAAAAAGTGACACATATATTCAAGCTTACTGAGAATTATCTGCAAATTGTTTCAAATGAGTGTTAAAATCGCTCTATCTCATTACATTGATTCATTCTGTGATAATATGTAGAGGGATATTGTCAACATCTCTCATAAAATCGTTCTGGATGAGCCAAGAAATCTGATTTCAGTGTAGTTCCTCCAATAGATTGGTGAATACCTTCTGTGTCATGCAAAACATATTACTAAATCTCATTGGCTGGCTCGCATGCAACTCCCCAACTCATTTGTCGCCCACATAAGAGGTTGTCATGCAAGGGGAGCACACTATGTATGAGTTATAATAATCGTATATCAAACATACTGCAACTGCAACTCTCCTTCTGCGTCTTTCTCTAGTTGCATCCATGTATTTCGGTATTGAAGTGATTAACTCAAGCATCAATGAATTAGCTACAATCATATAAAGCTACTAACAAAACCAACATAAGAAAACAAGAAATAAATAAAAAACATAACGAGGAATGAAAAACTCACAAGTAAAATGACATGTCTAAAGCAGGAAAAATATCCAAAGCAACATGAAAAAACATAAACAAATATCAATTATGAAATGTTTCACATGAATCTAATATAAAAATTGTCCTTAAAATGTCACTGCTCCAATAAAAATAACGTAGGTAAGTCAC